ACAGCCCCAGCTGCTAGGGCGAAGGGGGCGGCAACGCGCGCCAGTGGCCCGAGGCAGGAATACTGACAGAACCGCCACGCCGCCTCCGCGCACGACCATCTTGAATCGCCGTTAACTCAGCAACCACTCCGAGACCCAAAACCAAAAGGACGCTGCCATAAAGCGGGGCAGAAGCTTCTGGCCTTCTTTGTGGGTGTGGGCGATCGCCCAGACACTGCTTCCACAAGGGGGTTCCCAGTGCGCAGTAAAGAATTGGCTTGGTGCTCTGGGTGTTCGCCTTGTGGGCGCCCGTGGGCGCCTCGTGCTGTCTAGGTGCTTCGAGTTTCCGCCTGAGGGGCGCCCGTGGGCGCCTCGTGGGCGCCTCCTGCGCTGGCTGGGTGTTCCGAGCTGTTGCACGGTGGACGCCGGTGGGCGCCTCGTGGGCGCCTTGTGTTGGCTGGGGGTGGCGCGTGTTCGGTTGGCGGCTCAACAATATAGGTGGTCGAAGTTTTTACCCATTGCTATCTTCAACGACGCATGAAAGCCCAATGTTCTTCGACATAAAACTGGCTAGTGTTATTGAATGTCTGCACGCGCAGTCGCACTTCCTCACCATCACCCTCATCAACTCCATCGCATCACCGCCGTTCTCGTCATCCGCAATCGCCGTCGTTGCTGCCGTCATCGGCCAATCGCCTTGATTACCAACACATGGACATAATCACCGTCATCGTCCTCGACAGCGTCGGCGCCAATCTTGGCCTTGCCGTCGTCATCGTCATCATCGCGACCACAATCGCTACTATCCTCCTCCTTGCCGCCGTCATCGACGTCGTCATGAGATCGCGTCCACCTGAGTCACCGACCCCAGCGCGGCCTTTGAGACGCGCTTGGAAGTTCCCAATGGTCAGCGCCATCGCGGCCGCATTTGCTCCAAACAAACTGGCCGCCCTGCACGCGAGCTAGCGCGCGCCAGCGCGGCCACAAAGATGCGAAAGCCAGTGCCAGACAGCCGCCGCAATCGCGGCCGACTGGGCTGTGTCGAACCAGTTGCGGGTAGGACGTGGGACTGTTGCGCAACCAGTGGAGCTGACAACCCATGGTTCACACTTACGTTAGTTCAGCTAGACTCAACCGTCTCCCCGCCCCAAATCAAAATCTGTATACCCCTTGGGGCACTTCAGCTTACATGTGGTTCTGCCCCGCCCCTCATTTCGTATCATCCCCGGGGGTTATTTGCATACCCCCCGCATCCAGTATGCATGCGCATTCGCTTATCAAACATCAGCCACGTTCGGGAAAACCCTTGCAACAAATAATGTCTACACGCGCACGTCGTCGCGCGCTCATGGTAGAATCCGTAGGAGAACACAGTGGGTTCCGCACAAGTTTCAAGATCCAGGTTCCCGAACACACGCATGAAAACCAGTGGTGTTGCATCAAGTGCTCAAAAAACTGCCAGGCTACAGCGAATTCTTGTGAAAACAACCGGTGTTTCAACATGTTCGCAAACAGAATCTCGCGCGCACATGCCGAAATCATTCGAGGCGCCCTTACGCGCATCCTGGAAGGGGGGGTGGCGATCCCTGTCAAAGAGACCATGCGGGCGCGCGAGTCGGCTGAGCGCGCATGTCGAAATCCTTCAAGAACCCTCATCAGCGACACGTGGACACTGTAAGCGTCACTGACGTGACCAGCATCGGCGCCGTCATTGGCCTTGCCGTCGTCATCGTCATCATCGCCACCATCATCGCCGCTATCATCATAGTATCTGCCGTTGCCGACGTCACCATGATACCGACCCGCACTGAAGTGCCCCCGCGCCAGCGCGGCCTGAGAGACGCGCTGGGAAGTCCCTATCGGTTAACGCCTCCGCGGCCGCGTCGGTTGTGCCAAACTAGCTGCCCGCTCTGCGCGCGAGCGCAGTCATCGCAATCGCCGCTGCATGGGTTCTCCAAATCAAGTTGCAGGTGGGTGGGTGGGATGATTGCGCGAGCAGCGGGGTTGACAATTAGTTCTCCTTCCTCAAAAGAACTGAGGATCTACCACCCACCCACACACCCCGGGATATCCGTTCCCCGTGAGACTGTAATTTACATGTGTTTCTGTCCCATCGTTCGTACTAAATATAAACTCATACCTTTCGAACCAAGCTGGTAGTGACCCCCCCTCATCCAGGTCAAATTACTATGCGCGCACACGCGTTTATGAAAAAACAGCAGTTTTCAAAAACCCATTGCAACAAATGAGACGCAGTGCACACGCGCGCGTCGTAGCGCGCGCATCCCGAAATCCTTCAAAAAGTCTAGGTCCCATAAGGAATCCAAAATCAAATATCCCAACAACATTTGTAAACACACAGAAAAACCTGGCGTTGCAACATGATGCTTCGAAAAGGTCTGCGCGCACGCTCTTGTGAAGTCTTGAGGACCCCATCGGTTCTTCAACAATTCCATCACATGCGACCAACGTGGCCTCTCGCGCGCAACTGTCGAAATCATCCGCGATTGGGGGTCGATGAATTTCCCCCTGAGCCCATCCCCCCCTAACCTTGCCCCCGAAAGGCGTTCGCGACCAGGCTGCTGGCCAAGGCCGCGGAGGTAGGACTTCTGCCACGTCCGCGACGAGCCAGGCCGCCTTGCGGTCAAGTAGTTCTGCTGCTGGTGCTACTGTAGCTGCTCGAAGACCTGCTCGACGAAGAAGCGCCCCGGGACGCGGCCAGCGCAGGGCGGGCCGCAGCGTGGCTCGCGGAGCTGCTCGCAGCACTGCTGCAGGAATGGATCGAAGTCCTGCCCGTGGCGCTGCTTCGGTGCGAGGCGGACAGCCAGGCAGCCAAGCATGAGCATCGCTCAACCGATCCCCGTCCCCACTGGCGTTGCATTGGCCCACCTGGCCGATTTACCCCCCTGGATGGGTATGTAGGCTGTTCCCGTCGGGCTTCGAGGGGCCCATGTCCAACTGGGGGGGGGGCCGAGATACCATGGCCCGGTGGTGACGGGGACAGGTGGAACGATACAGGCAGGCAGAAAGGAGAACGAGGGAGAGAACAGATCTGGAGACCACGCCGGTGCCCCGATACGGAGGTCCCACGCCAGCACCCGGATCCGGAGACCTCTCTCCCTCGAAGGCCCACCCTGAATGGCCTGGAGGTCTTGCCCCCCATCTTCCCACGCAACCAGGGCAAGCCATGCCCTCGAATGGTCTTCCGGCCGCAGCTCGCAGGGCCTCAGAAGGCCAGCCGTTCGGGCGATCCGGGCGTCCTCAAACGAGCGAGATGCCAACACGAGTTTGATGAAAAACGGGCAGCAGACTCCCCATGCTGTAACCTCCCCTTTCTCCTCCTCCTCCTCCTCCTCCTCCTCCTCCTCCTCCTCCTCCTCCTCCTCCTCCTCCTCCTCCTCCTCCCCTTCCCCCTCCCCCCTGCAGGGGGGGCTAGCCCGCGCCTCGCGACTTCTGAGGGCGCGCTATGAAAGCACGGGCGCCAGTCGTCGGACCCCAAAGCGGGGCTCCCGTTCGAGGGGGGGCCCCCATCCGACAGCACGCACCCGTGGGCCCCGCCCCCCGGGATCGAATCGGAGATCCCCAGCACGCGCGTTGCCCCGCCAGCGTGTGCTCGTCCACCGAGGCGCCCTCACTCCAGACGGCGCGGCCGACGCGGGGAGGGCCGAATGGGGTGAACATGCACTCGCACCAGTGAAGGGGCCCAGGGACACGTAAAGAAAGAGACACAAATCCCAGAATTCCCCAGATTCAGAAATATGTTCTGGAATCTTGTCTCCAGTGTGCGACGCTTCTTACGCTGCGCCTTCGACAATGCTCGATCGTAGTTAGCACTTCCATCTGCTGCTCGCGCTTGAGGACCCTGTCTTCCGCTGACTCCACAGAATGTGAAAATCTCCCCTGCGCAGGGCATGCTCCACCCCAGGGACCCTGGGGGTCGCATAGACGCTTCCGTGCCCGCTGCCAGCTCATCCTCCAGACTCAGACCCCCGACGTCATTAGGGGAACGAATAATAACATAAACATGAAAACTCGGGGGTCCGCGGATCCGCGCTGGGAGCGCGACAGGGGCGGCGCCGGAGGCGCCGCCAGGGAGCCCCAGCGCCGATCCGAGAAATCCGCGCGGACCTCTGAGTTTTTATGTTTATGTCACTGCTCGTTTCCCGAATCCTCCATACCCAGACCCCCGACGTCATCAGACGTCGACCCCCAAAGGGACTTCGCCAGAACTCGGGGGCGCGCAAACACGGATTAGCGATCCATGGATTTGGCGCGCGGTCGTCAAATCCATGGATCGGGGGAGGTGCCCTCCCCAAAATGCGGCCAGCGCCGCCTCCCTCGGCGGCGGACATCCGTGATTTCCGATGGAAGCGGGACCCGTCGCTAATCCACGCCCCCTTGATCCATGTTTGCGATCGCCTAGGTCATCAGACGTCGACCCCCAAAAGGGACTTCGCTGGGACTCCGTCCTCGATCCTCGGGGCTTCGTCCCCCAGACGCCGACCCCCCAGAGGTCGCGACCCCTTCCACGGGACCGGCTTTGCACCCCGAGCGGTTCTTGTGGACGGTCCTGGGGCTCGGCGAGGGCCCCCAGAGGCCGCAGGTCGCCAAAAGCAGAAGGAACAAGAAAAGCCAAAAACAAGCAAATACAAAAAACAGCACCAACAACAAAACAAAACAAGCATCAGAACAAACAAACGGCCGTGCGTTTTTGCTCACGACGCGAGCTGGGCCTGTCGTTCGCCCTCGGCCTCGCCCTTCCCGCGCCGCTCCCGCGCGGACCCGCGCCGACGACGACGACGACGACGACGACGACGACGACAACGACGGCGACAGCTCCTCTGCGAGGAGAGATCTGGCTCCGCCGCCGCCGGTGAGCCCGGCGGCGCGGGCTCCGCGCGCAGCTCCGAAGCCAGCGCGCGCGGCGCCGCCGGCGCGGCCGGCGCGCCGGCGGCCGCGCCCGGCGGCCGCGGCGGCGCGGGCTCTGCGCGCAGCTCCGAGGTCCGCGCGCGCAGCCACGCCGGCGTGCTGGAGCGCGGGCGCGCCTCGGCCCAGCTGCGGGCCTCCCGGTGCACCAGCTCGGCCTCGCGGCGCAGCTGCTCGGCCTCGGAGGCGGCCAGCTCTGCCAGGGCGCGGGAGGCCGCGTCGTCCGCGAGCACCCAGCCGCCAGGGTGGCCCTCCACGTGGCAGGAGGCCGCCTCCGCCTCCGCGCCCGCCTCCTCCACCTCACTCGTTCACTCGCTCACTCGCTCACTCGCTCACTCACGCACTCACTCACTCACTCACTCACTCACTCACCCACCAACTCAGGGCACTTGGGCTCAGTGCCGGTTCTAGCACAGGGACGCAAGGAAAAGGGGAGGCGGGCCTGAAAGTCATGTCCGTTGCATCAACACAGCCGATCCCCTTCCTGTAAATAACCCTTGCCGCCCCAACAGGACATGTCGGTAAGGCGGCCTGGCGATTCGACTGAAGCTTCATCCGAATGCATGAGCCTAAAGATGAGAACTTCCCACGACAAGTGTCATGAAGGGCAGTTGGTGTTCACTAAGTGTGTCTCTCGGTTTTTTGGAACTTCTTCACAAACTACGACCATGAAGCCTGACGTATCCAACGTAGCCAACAACTGGCGGATGATCCAAACTTTGGACTTCCCACCCGCTACGAGCATGGATGGCGGCTCGTTTGTCAAATTCGGTGTGTCGCGTTGGGCGCTGTCCCAGCTAATGTTCGTAAATCTTGAAGCTTCAAACCGTCACACGGATTCAACGCTTCCTGTGTCGAATCGAAGCTTCGCTCGAGGCATATTTATACACAAATGTAATACGTGTGTACACATGATCCTGCAGCTTTGTAATTTCGAGCACGTGCATCGGAAGGCGGCTTGTGTTCAATTCGGGCTCCCACACCAGTCAACAACTACACGGATGGAGGACAGTTCATGCGCAAAACAACACTCTTGCCCTCTCTTCAGCGCCGCACGGCGCTCTGCATTCCCACCGGCCGCTTCACCTGGGATGGCTGCAAGTCCAGGGGTTGAACCCGAGGTCATGAAACCGTTTCAAGAAAACGCACGCCTCCAAGTATTTACTGTTCTGAAACCTCAGCCCAGTGAGCCAAAAAGCAGTCAGTTGATCCCCTCTGCCCCCAGCCCCCACAACATGGCGCCGTCCCAATCTCCTGGACGGCAGCCGCAAGATTTCGCAACCGCCATTCTCCTCCTCCTCCTCCTTCCCCTCCTCCTCCTCCTCCTCCTCCTCCTCCTCAAAATCATCATCATCATCATCATCATCATCATCATCATCATCATCATCATCATCATCATCATCATCATCATCATCATCATCATCCTCTTCTTCCTCTTCGACGCAGCTCTGCGGTCAGATTCGATCCTAACCACCTTCGGAAAGGAGCCAAACACACACACACACACACACACACACACACACACACACACACACACACACACACACACACACACACGCACACACACACACACTCACACCTCGACTCCCCTAGGCCAGGAGTCTTGCTTCGCCTCCACTCCTCCTCCTCCTCCTCCTCCTCCTCTCCTCCTCCTCCTCCTCCCTCCTCCCCCTTACCTCCTCCTCCTCCTCCTCCTCCTCCCTCCTCCTCCTCATCATCATCATCATCATCGTCATCATCATCATCATCATCATCATCAGCATCATCATCATCATCAGCATCATCATCATCATCATCATCATCATCAGCATCATCAACATCATCATCATCAGCATCATCATCATCATCATCATCATCATCAGCAGCATCATCATCGTCATAATCGTCATCAGCAGCATCATCAGCAGCAGCATCAACACCATCATCATCTCCATCATCACCAGCGGCATCATCAGCACAAATCAGCATCGCCATCATCAGCAGCACCAACATCATCATCATCAACATCAGCATCAGCATAATCGTCATCATCGTCATCGGCATCATCATAATCAACATCAGCATCAGCATCAGCATCATCATCATCATCAGCATCATCATCATCATCAGCAT